TCTTGGCCTCGACCACACAAGACAAATTTTCTAGAAGTATATATTTTTGAATCGGGAATGTTTATTAAAATAATGTCCCCTTGCTCCTTGACTTCGTCTATTGTCATTTTTGTTATTTCCTCTCTCCGGCAAGCTCCCGCTATGCCTATAGCGAGCACAACCTGCAACAAAAAATAAATTACATAAGGTGGGAATAAATTTGCGTTTCTGCGATGGTGGTACTAAAATAATATTTTAAATACAAACTGCTTCAAACTAAAGATATAGCAATATCCCTATTTCCTACCTTTAACAATAAGAAGTTAACATCTGGTGCTTCATCAAAGAAATGGTCTATATCTTCTCGCTGGAAAACATTGGATTTTTTAGCCCTGTATCCAACAGACTTTTTTTTCAGGTATGCAATCAATCTTGGGAACTTGTTGATACTAATGTTGTTTTTCACAGATAAAGTTGCCTTCAACATCGAATAGTAGCACCATAGTGAAGAGGCTTTCTTGTCCTTGAATTTGTCTTCACAATACGCAATTAAAACATCTTCACTTATTTCCAGTACTTTTTTAGATGAGCACCATTGTAAAAAAGCCTCATATTCTTTTTCGTAACGGACGCCGGACTTCTGTGGTAACAGATCTTCGGTTGCCTGCTTAACGAGTCTTGAAATTTCGTTATCAGAATCACTTGAATCCATTTTTTGGAGCTTTTAGTAAGAAAATGACGAACACAATGACGAATGACGACTTATAAATCTTTTTCCTACGAGCGTGCGCAAAGTAGTACTTTTCCGCACGCATTTCGGTTCTCAAAGTTACACTTTTCCGCACTCAGTGCGGATACAGGCCTTATCCGCACTGAGTGCCGAAAAGTAAAAATAATTGTCAAGCAACAATAAGGGCACCTGTCGACGTTGACAAATGATGACAAATTTTTCCTCTGTTTCTATATCAGCCAACATCTATACAAACACCAAATTTAATTAACTTTGACACATTGTCAGATTTGTTCTCTATTGATATGCAAGAATCTACAAACTTTCTCATCAAATTTAAACGTTTTAAAAAAAGGGCTCTGACGATGATTTTCTGTTATTTTTTTTTTTTTGTTATGTAATTTTTTGATAACTGCATAGGTTCGCTTCAAGTTAATTAAAAATAGTTGAACAAATAATTTTTTTTTCTAAATTTTTGTTGTTACCTACCTGATATGAAGCTCGTAGGAAAAATTTAGTTCCTAACACGTGCGCAAAGTGTCTTTTCCGCACGCAAACACTTATCCAAACTCCGCTTCGCGTCGTTCGTATAACTGTGTTTGCGTGCGGAAAAGTAACACTTTGCGCACTTGTTAGGAAAATAACTATATCTGTGTATGTATGTTCTTAGCAAGCAACGATATCAATTGTCGTGTTTCAACATAACATATGGTATATTGATTTGAGTATCAAATACGTACCTTCAATTACCTACCTTCAATTACCTACCTATCAAATTCACCTAGATTCTACGTGTTCTCTGTCAAAGATGACAAACATCCAGAGACGGAATTTCATTTTCTGTAATTTTTTAAACTTTTTTCGGATATTTTGTTACCGCAAGCTTGTAGATAAAATACTGTATATAATTCGTGTCGTAATTTAGGTTATTACCGCCCAGAGATTGCAAACCTCGCCTCACCGGCTCGGTTTGCAAATTTCTCTCGCGTGCGGTAATAACCTAGTTACCACAATGTTTTCATATTGGTTAGTATGCATTTCTCTATAAACGAACTTACTCGAAAATTCCAGGAAAAAGTCATAGGGAGTAGCATTTCAAGCATTTGTCGATAGAATAGCTATTTACCTAACAAGTGCGGAAAATGAATTTTTCCGCACGCGGCTGCCGTTCACCGAACGACGCGTAGCGGAGTTCGGTGATGCAGCCGAGTGCGGATACATATTTTCCGCAAGTGTTAGGTACAATATTTTTCCTACAGGCGAAAAAATGTAAAATTTTTATTTATTTTTTTGACATATCAGTGCGGTAAAATTTTTTCCGCACTGACAGCCGTGCGGAAAAACTTTTTCCGCACTGATATGTCAAAAAAAAAGTTTTACCGCACCGTGCGGGAAAACTCATTTTCCGCACGCATATCAGTGCGGAAAATCGATTTTTCCGCACGGCTGTAGGAAAAGATTTAAGACGGGCCCTACATTTTAACGTAGAACTGCCTAGCCCTACCCCTAGAGCGCTTCCCAACTAGGCGGCGTGAGAAAAAAAAAACTAAAATCTATCGTGAAAACCACAGTTCTATATTCAAAATAGTATCCGAGTAAATCCCTCCACTTTTCCGCACGCATTTGGGTCCTGTGGCGCCGAGTGTGGCACTTTCTGCACTAGTTAGGAAATACTATTTCCTAAGGCCGTGCGGAAAAATTACTCTTTGTGTATGCCAATAGTGTTTTTTTCCGCACACTAGCAGAAAAAAACGGCGCCGACCTCAACTCTTGGAGTAAAATGTATTATCCGAGTTTAAAACATTATAGGTCAAAAAAACGATTTTCTTAACTTTAGAATCTTGTTGAAATCACCTTTTTTACATTCAAAATTGACGAAAAATTAAATAACGAGCACAGCCAAAGCTGCTTTTTTCACGGGCTTGGCTTGGGCGCCCCAGGTCGCCCTGGATCACGATTTTCAAATGTAAATAACCGTTCTTTTTAATCGGGGCGTCAAGCCTCGGGGCACGGCCATCTCAGCGAGTCGTTGAAGCTCCAGTGTCACTATAGTTGTATTCCTTTCAAGAGCTTGAAACACTCGAGCTACTCGCTTCGGTGCTTAGTCGCCCCCGATTTGCAGGTAACATATGCGTGGTGCAACAAACACTTCTCGGAAGGAATAAGCGCGTGAAGCCCCGGAGCTGTTCCGGAGCTCCTCCTAGGTGTGAAAGGAATACAACTTATAATAGCTGCTTTCTTTTCATGGGCCCCCTAGATCACGATTTTGAACAGTAAACAACCGTTCTTTTTAATCGGAGCGTCAAGCCTCGGGATCGTCTATTCCCACCGCTAGCGCCTCAGCGAGACGTCGAAGCTCTCAGCTCCAGTGTCCGAACTGTCAGATAATAGTTGCTTTTTTTCTGCACAATAAGCTCTTCCTCTGGGGTCTGAAGCCCCCCACTAAGCCAAATCACCAATTGTGACGTAGGCAGCATGTCCTTTCCCGCCTGACGTAGGCTGTTTGCATCACAGGTTATGATTCCGCGGGCTTCTGTTTTACGCATACTTGGTTTTACTATATTAATAAACATTCTAAAACAATTTTTTTTTAGATCTCGTTTTTATCTTCCTCTTTGCCTATTATGTTAATCAAAATTAAATAATATTTTTCATCATAAATTTAAATTCTAAGCTACGACCGCTAGTGCAAACAGCTGACAACTTATGGCGATTTCCATTTGTAGAATCAGTGCAAAAAAAATGTACAAAAATGTATCGTTATCTTTCTATTTCACATTAGAAAAAGATGCGGATACACTCAATGCGCACTTATTAACAAATGGAAATCGCCATTAGCTCTGAAGTCGGAAATGAGGATTTACCAATATGGCGGCGATTACCAAAAACAAGGCCGATAAGCATTCCTTATAGAGTGTGTGTATTATCCTTGAATAGACATTAGGATTGCTTATCGGCCTCGTTTTTGGTAATCGCCGCCATATTGGTGTATCACCATTTCCCAAGGAGAATACACACTCTAAAGGAGTGCTTATCAGCCTCGTTTTTGGTATTCGCTTCCATATTGGTGTGATTCCATTTCCGACGTCATAACTAAGTCGTCAGCTATTATAAACAGCCTCCGTCAAGGCGACAAATAACATGCCTACGTCACAACTGGTATTTTGGTATGAAGGGGAAGGGGGGAATTTGTTACACACAGGCCTTATGAGGATAGGCCATACCGCTCAAATTCGAGTGGTATCGATGACGTCACTTTGTAACCGGATTAGGAAACGGTCTGTCATTTCTCTAACCAGCTCGGCGATATGATTACGTTTAACGTTTAGATATTGTAAGACCAAAAAAATAGAAAGGCTATGGTCCGAATATAACCAAACATTAACCAAAGTAACCGAATCGGTTGACAGATGGTTGCTGAAAATTTCGGTTACTTGCGGAACGCGAATATGAAATAAAAAATAGTTGACAGAAATTATAGGTAAAACCAACAGAACCGACATCCGATGGCTGGTAACTATTTTGACATTTGGTTAACCAGATTTCAGGAAACCGAGGTCCAAAAGTAACCACTTTTCCAGGAACCAGAGAAATTTGATTACTTTCGGACTGCGAAACCACAACCCTGGTTATATTCGGACCACAGCCTAAATTTGTAAAAAACGGAGAGCGAGAAAATTGTGACACGTGTAAACTTGAAAAGTTGTGTCTGTTTTGTTAATTTTGAAGTTTCTACCTAGCTAATCAATTGACGAACAACAAAGCTAAAATAAGTAATAGAGACTTTTTTTTTCAAGATACACGTGAAATTTTAGTGCAGTCACTATAGAGGGTACATCAACCGATCAACCTATTATAAATATTGACAGGTCGTTGTATTGACTAATTTAAAATAACATTTTTCCAACCGTTCGTTTTCAAATGGCAGTTTCAATAACGTCATCACTTGACATCATACCGCTACTAACCGTTTTGTAACCCGGTTAGTTTAAACCGGAGCCACGTGAAAAGGACTATATGTTAAAACCGCGGGGCGTTTTTCAACTGTTCCTGAGTGAGGTAGCACTCTGGGCACGTCGACTCTCGATTTCTGAACGATTCCAGCGTAACGCTCCAAGTAAGCACTTGTTAATTTATGAACGAATCGTTCATTTAGGCCCAGTTGTACAATCTTGGTTCAAAACAAAGTTCAACTGAACTCGACTAGTACCTGAGCTTTCCCATTTAAAATACATTGATGTCAGCTATCAATCAAATTCTATCAATTTTGACAGCAATGCATTTCAAATGGGGAAGTTCAAGTACCAGTCGAGTTCAGCTGAACTCTGTTTTAAACCAAGATTGTACAACTAGGCCTTAGAGTTACTCTAGGGTTACTCTCACACCCATAGTGCTTTTTCTAAAGGCAACCCTATTTTCGTCGATGGCGCTCTCTATTGGTGCGCAATGGAGGTGCCACAATTCTCAGGAACCCTTTAAAATCTTATTATATCCCGCCAATAGTAGTTTCTATCATAGCCGCTGGTGGCGCTTCAGTCAGATCGAGATCCCAATTCCCAGTTCATTTGAATCTTGAATCGTTTAAATCGTTTGTTTATTGTTTATCGCGTGTGTGTGTTGTTTTGTACTGACTACTTTATCACAGAATACTACTAAGTATTGTTGTCGTAGTAAGGTATGGTATTGTAATTTTGTCTGGTTTTATCGTCAAACATTATCGTATTATATCAGGTCTTCAAAGAAAAAACAATCAAAGATTGCTATGGTTTTTAAAACGTATGTTCTAGCAACATTTTTCTTTAATTTTGTCAATGAACTTCAATGTCGATTGGGTACATTCAGGCGGTACCAGCCTCAGTACCAGCGGCTAAGCTCAGCCACTCAGCAGGGACTTTATTCTCGAAACCGAGGAATAGCGTTCTCATGAGAACGATTGCTCTGTCATTGTCAGTGTTATGGAAATATGAATACGGACGACGAAGACAGAACCTTCGTTCTTATGAGAACTTTTCTCCCCTGTTTCGAGAATAAAGTCCCTGCTGATGAGTCACTGAATTTAGCCGTTCCATTAACCCTTTTCACGTGGCTCCGGTTTAACAAACCGCAACATACCGCTCAAATTCGAGTGGTAGGTACAGGGGCGGATGGGCCGGCAGGGATTTTGGGAAGTTTCCTGAAGGGCCGCTTGCTTCCGGGCCGGTTCAATCGACATGGAAGCATACAGGGTGTTTCACAGCGAAACTGAGGCGTTTCAGGGTATTTTAAGGTCGATTAAAAAAAAAAAAACGCTCGGACACGTTATTTTGTATTCAAGGGGGAAACTTTTTGACCCCATCGTTATTTCGCTGAGGTGCACCCCCTGGGTGGGGTAACTTTCACCCCACTTTTTAAGATAGGGCAGATCGGGCGAGTGGAACCTTGTTCTAAAGGTATTTTGATTCTCGTCACAACTGCGTATTTTTTTGTTGAAAATCGAATGATAAGTTTCCAAGATATTCACTGTCAAAGTTAGCATGGGATAAATAAGAAACAATTTTCTGGTCCTGTTATTCTCGAATTAACACTTTCCTGACTTTCCTTTCGGAGACATCAATTTCCATTTTTTGTGTGCTTTTGAAAAAATAAAAATTGGCTGTATCCCCACTATTCATTAATTTATTATCCTAAATCGAGCCAGAGCTGAGCTAAGTACTCAGCAAATATAGGTACTTGAAGTATTAAGTATTGAGTAGAATATTATTCTAATGTACTTAAAGTATTAACTATTTCACTTGAGGTAAAAAAAAAACAGTATAAGTATCAGTACTTATTAGTTTCAGTATACGGAATTTAGAATATGTTGTATATGCATTTAAGTACTATTGTAAGTACTTAGAGTACATATTGTAAGTATATTCAAATTTTAAGTACATTTTTAAGTAATAAGTACCTATAACTTGAATAAATTGTCAAATTTAAGTACCAGTACAAGTACTTTTTTCAAATTGTATTGATTATTTTTCCTCAAGTACTCTTCTTATAAAAGTACTTAAAGTATCAAATGTACTGAATATTTCACTTCAAGTATATTTTTCTAATCAGTACCTCCGCTCTGAATCGAGCCACGAAATTTCCTGATCTGAGATTTAGAAAAATACATGAAATAGTTTTAAAATGACTATGTATTTCATATTTTTATTTCCAAATACCCCTATTCTATTTTATTCTCTCCTGGGGTGTGCGGACACCTGTACTGCTCGTGGCTCATTGTGCCCCCCTGAAGTTTTCATATCAGGACCACTCCCTTAGTAAAACCTAGGATGTCCCTGATATTCGCTTTCACGATTTCGTTTGGTTTCAGATATTGTGTCCCAAAGTGCCACTGTGTATGCCATCTAGGACATTGGCACAGTAAATGTAAAGTTCGCCTCACGAGTCTAGGACTATGGAAAGAATGCAAATAAAAAAATTGCAATATTGCCTATTTGACTTCCAATAAAGAATACCTCAATATTTATTTATGTTACACACCTACATAAGGAAAAAGTAATATTTAGAAACGTTGCACGCACGCCTATGACAGGTTAGCATAAAGCTCGAAATGAATGGCGTTATTTCCCCTTGCTCTTCAGACGTCGTAGTGCTAGGCTCGTCAGCCGAACTTTAGAGGTGATTCATCTTTCTCTTCACACCTTTCGCACAGCGAGTCTTCTGCTAGCTTCATTGTGTTTAGGTGTTTTCTGAGAGAGCAGTGTTCTGTCAACAATCCAACCACATCTCTCAATTGTCTCCGGCTCTTAGATGGTCCTTCCATGAAGAGTTTGGACTGCCTGAGTCCATTAGAAAGTTCCATGAAGAGTTTTTTGTGTTATTCCCTATAAAATAATACCAAAAAAAAAAATTGGGACCAGTAGGTTTTTGAGCTGCCTGCATGACCTTGAACTTATAAAAAATTGGCTGCGGCGCGATTCATTCACAACAGCCCCAAAATAAAATACTGATCTGGCAGGCCGGGCCGGTGTCACTGGTTTCCCGGGCCGGTTTTATGCTCCCCATCGGCCGCTGGGTAGGTATCCATCACGTCACTTTGTTACCGGGTTAGAAAACGGTATGATATTTCTCTAACCGTTTTGTAACCCGGTCAGTTAAACCGGAGCCACGTGAAAAGAACTATTGATTTTTCCTCGGGTTTTTCTTTTTGAAGACTCGACTCGATATCTGCACACATTTTGACATAATGAATAGATTATAGTAGATTATACCACGAGTCAATAATGATAGCTATTATTCCCGAGGTATATTTACGAACTGAGCAGCGTTAGCGGCGAGGGAGTAACATTCCGAGGGAATAATAGCCATTATTGCGAGTAGTATACTCTACTTTATTTACGACAAATTAATTTATTTGTAATTTTCTTTCCAAAAACGCTCTTTGTTCATCCATCTCAATACAAATACACAAGCACTACGCGTTTGACACTGACACTGAATTTGTTCTATACTGTTTCCATGGTACTACCTACTTATTTAATTCGAAAAATTTTGTGATTGGTCTGCAAGCGGGATTAATGGCCATTAATCCCGGCGGGAATAATAGATGTCATTAAACTGCCAAAATCATAAATATAATACTAACATTATATGTCAGTCGTAAATAAAATTGTAAATTATTCTACCTGCTATACTTTTTCTGTGTAGGTAAAATGGCTGAGGAACAACAGCAGGAGAAGAAGTTTTTTCCGATCTTCAATATAGGAGCCAGACTGCAAAAGAAAGATGGCGCTGGGACTGCTGGGAGAGAGACGAAAAGTTCTGATAGGAGAGTAGTGAAGAAATATGGTAAAAAGCTTAAAGGTAAGTTGATAAGTGTTAAAATAATATATTGTCAGGGCTTTGTATTGCCTGACAGAAATCTTGAGTTCGTTTCATTTATTCCAAAAATCGAAGTCCAATTACACAGCAATAATTTATTCCACGTAACAATACACTCTGACACTAATTACTTTAATAATTAACTTAACAATTAAACTCTTAACAACAATAATCACTATTTGAATCGTATCACAGTCGAACTAACACTTAAACTTACGCTGGTTGGTCACAAATTCGATATCTCCCTTAGTTTCCGAATAGAATTTTCTAGAACTCACTCGAAGATTCACTATCACAGTCAAAATCGGGTATAGGGGTAATTTACACGATCGGTTAAGTCTTTTTTTCGGATTGTCACTGTTTGCACTGATTACCTGTCCCAGTGTTCACTTTTAGTGTTCAGTTTTCACACTACACTAGTGTCCCTGCACTATTTCGCAATTGAATTTCACTCTGCAGTCTTCTTCTATGTCTCACTTCTGACACCAATGTCACGGCTTTGTATTGCCTGACAGAAATCTTGAGTTCGTTTCGTTTATTCCAAAAATCGAAGTCCAATTAGACAGCAATAATTTATTCCACGTAACAATACACTCTGACACTAATTACTTTAATAACTAACTTAACAATTAAACTCTTTACAACAATAATCATTATCTGAATCGTATCACAGTCGAACTAAAACTTAAACTTACAAGCTAAAACCCGTCCTTATGTATAGCCGTAATTTATTCCTGTAAATTTCAGAAGAACCGCGATCGACTTTGTTCCCGAATATCAACGTAAAATCTCGAATCTGCTATGCAATTCTGTACAGGATTCTTGACACACTGGCGGCCGTTGGACTGCCCTCCTCTCAAGGTTCGATCAACTTCACGCCCATGATATTTCGCTAACCTGTCCAGATGTACAACTTTCATCTTACTCCTGGTGTTGCGTTGGACTCGATAAACCAAATCATTGATCCTCTTTTGATTATTTTGTAGGGTCCTTCCCATGCTGAAGACAATTTCGGCGATACTCCTTTCTTTCTAGCTGGATTATACAGCCACACCAAATCACCTTCTTGAAATCCGGCTGAATTGGCTTTCAGATCGTATCTGGTCTTCATCCGGTCACTGGCTAGTTGAATATGCTTCCGAGCAAAATCATGGATACCCAGAAGTCGTACGCTTACTTTGTCGGCATAGTCTCGAATTTCTTTTCGTTCTTCTTCAGGTATCCCAAACATCAGATCGCAAGGTAACCTGAGTTCCCTTCCAAAAACGATTCTGGCTGGACTTTCACCACTCGTGAACAGCTGCTCTGTAAGCCATTAAAAATAGAGGCAAATGCTTGTCCCAATCAAAAGAGTCTAATCGTAGGAATTAATGAGGACCGTTGTGGTAGGCGGAGCCATGTATCGTTATAGGTTAGGTCATATTTTGCGCCCTTTATTACTTCAATTTCTACGATTACTTTCACAGGCATGGTGTGTCCTAGTTAGGATACGTACGATACGTACGGCTTTTGGAGCAAATGGACCCGGGATCGATTTTCGTTGGAGGTTGTTTTTTTTTTCTTGATTTTTTTTTAAGATTAATTATCAAGGTTAGTTTGGGTTAGTTTTGATTTGCTCTGTTTCATCTAAAATACAAACACAAAGACTAGCACTTGTTACGATAAATTTATCATTTACGTAACATGTTCCATCTCTTCTTATTTTCATTATAAAGTTGTATTTTTTTTCATTTCAGAATTCAAAATAATTTCCAATATTCTAAAAATATCCATTAAATTCAAATTTAAATTCAAGTTATACAAGTGCTGCCATCTATCTACATTTGCGTAAAGTGCAAGTATCAAGAATTGATTTTTTAGTACTGCCATCTAGTGCGCGATGATCTATCTGATCTATATTTCAAAGTATGATTTCTTATTTTGGCAGTAATTTGTATTTTTTGAAAGAAATTATATTCATCTCACTTTTAGCAAATGGATATATTTCTGTCCTTTTTTACCTTCTGATTTTTAAATATTCATTTTTGGCTTAATGATCCAATTAATTAACAGTCTTTTATCTTTGACATAACCTTAATTTAAATTATTATAATTTGTAAACAATTAAAATAGTTTTAGTGGATTTTTATCTATTTTCGTTTATTCCATGCGGTCTTTTCATTGTGTTTTCATTTTGAAGTGAATATGGTCTTTCGAGTGTACTCGTTTGATTGGTTCAAACTGGCTGGAATGCAGTAAGTATAAAAAACACAGGTTCGTTTTCCTGCTAGCTTGGTTTTCTAAAACGTTCTCTTCTTGAAGAACACTCTGGCCAGGCAAGTCCTCTATTCATTTTTATTTAATTTTGTGCTTTGAATTTTTGGATCCTCCCCTATAGATTTTTCAATATTCAAATTATCGTATCTTTATTAAGTTTTTACTGATAAACCTTATCTTATCTGTTTTTTGAAATATAAATATTATATTTTAATTTTTTTTAATCTAATTGTTGGCTTCCATTTTGTGTGAATTACTTTGCTTATTGGTTAGTGCCACGTTTTGTTATAATTGGTAAGTCAAGACAAGACAGATTTTTGGTTTTAAATAGGTACTGCTGCTCTGGCTTTCAGAATCAATTTTTAGTGTGGGAAAACTGGATCATTTGCTCTAAATAGAGTCGGTGAAAACCAAATTTGTGAGTCCATCCCCATTAATCCTTTATTGAATCCAGGCAGAGGCCTGAACAACCATTTTCTGCTTGACTCCCTAAATTATCTTATCTTATCTTATCTTAAATATCTTAACTAAAGGGTGTAATTTTTTAATAGAAATCCAGACAGGTCAAAAATTCAGTTTAAAAGTTTTTATTAAAACATCTCAAGAATTTTGACACGTTCTGGATTTGATTAATTTCAACCCTAGGTTTATCTCGAGGTTTATCTAGTATCTGTGGTAACTAACTTAATTCGAGGTAAGAATTTTGTCTATTTGGGGAGGAATCCAGACATTTGATATCTTAATTTTTTTTCTTACCTTATTTTTGCTCATATTTTTTCTTGTATTTTTGCCGGCCAGAGCTGTTTTTCAAGGAAGCAGCATTTTGCTCAATTGTAACGAGCATTCTAATTTAATCTTGTTATTATTTTTTTTTATTATCTTACAATTAATCTTAATTATTTAATTGTTTTTTTTTTATATTGAAATATTAATTTTTTAACTTGCAATAGTTTTTCATACCTGATTCTGTTGAAAGGGAGTGTCTGTACAACAATCATTTTATACCAAATTTCACCTTCAATTTCTTTTGCAAGACACTCACTTTTTGACAGAATTCAGGAATTTAATGTTCCAAATATTGGTGAACCTGATACTGTCTTATTCTTTTCTGGGTACCTACTCTGCATAAAGATCACTGTCTGGAGTCTGGATCAGCTGGAGTGACGTCACCCCAGCAATCTATCCTCTTCCTGGATACAGGAAACAATACGAAAAGTTCCAGTTCACGAAAGTGAAACCCCAACACCCCTTGAAGAGCTTCGGATTGGAAAGCAGGTACTTGGTATCAGATTCGCCAGGAAAAACCAAGTTGTTAGCATTGAAATTACACAGAACATTGTAAACAAAATTAAATAAAATTATTGCTTGTTGGATGTTGAGTGGTTTTATTTGCACACAAAAGGGCTACACGTTATCTTAATTTTTCTTTGAATTCACGACCCTAGGTTATCTTTTCCTTAAAGTATACAAATCTAGTTTATTTGTAACACGAATTACGAAATTACGAATTAGGTACGATACGAGCTCTCCGCCCACCGCAGCGATCCTCATTTATTCCTACGACTAGACTCTTGTGTCCCAATCTCGCTGGTTGGTCACAAATTCGATATCTCCCTTAGTTTCCGAATAGAATTTTCTAGAACTCACTCGAAGATTCACTATCACAGTCAAAATCGGGTATAGAGTCACTTCTGGGGTAATTTACACGATCGGTTAAGTCTTTTTTTCGGATTGTCACTGTTTGCACTGATTACTTGTCCCAGTGTTCACTTTCAGTGTTCAGTTTTCACACTACACTAGTGTCCCTGCACTATTTCGCAATTGAATTTCACTCTGCAGTCTTCTATGTCTCACTTCTGACACCAATGTCACGGCTTTGGAGTGCGTGACAGAAATCTTGAGTTCGTTTTGTTTATTCCCAAAATCAAAGTCCAATTAACACAGCAATAATTTATTCCAAGTAACAATACACTCTGTCACTAATTACTTTAATAACTAACTCAACAATTAAACTCACAACAATAATCACTAGTTGAATCGTATCACAGTTAAACTGAAACTTACACTACAAAGCAATAGCGGCCTTTATATCCCTAAATCTATTCCTGTACAATCTAAAATACACAAGATAACTCTGCTTCTAGAAAACCCTGCAAGAATCCCGCTAAGCTGTTGGATTCTTGACATCTTAGCGGCGTAATAATACTTTTGTTTCAAATTTCCATTTAAAACGAGTAAACGATATCAGTCTCGTTTTAATTTCGTGACCGAGACCGCGATCAAACTCTTGGCTGCGCGGAACCCTACACTGGACATTCTCGAGATCCCTAAAGCTAATAGGTTGTCTGGTAATGGAAAACAGATGACGTCATTTGGGGTGCCTTATGGAGATTTGCATTACGTTTAAGGACCCCAGATGACGTCTTAAAAGTTATCAGGAAAGGCAACCTAACCTTGGAACATTCTATGTTCAAATTGCACATGTAAAGATGGAATGAAATAAGGAGTGAAACAAAAAAATCAAAATTAATCGTTTACTTATTGATCCATCTGTTTGATTGTAATTTCATTGTGCTCGTGTATTTTCTTTCTTTCTTTTTCTTTCTCCGAATATTCAATAAATATTTTTCTTTGTGAGTTTTGCCAACTAGGTTATTCAGTTATTTATTATTTTTTTGTCCCACCAGCGCTACCCCACAACCAAATGCTTTTAGACGCTGGTCAGAAACGGTTCGGGCATGCCCAGTGCCCCCAGTGTAGTATGTTCTTTCACATGGGAGACCCTAACGACGAAATTGAACACTCGAATTACCACAACGCCGTCCCAGTACTCCGATTTCCTGTAAGTAGCATTTTATTTTGAATAGGTATGGTAGTTCCAAAAAAAAAGGCTATTCTTATCTCATGTACAAACTTCCTTTCAGCCAGCCCTCATATGCGTGATTTAAAAAAAAAACATGTACAACTTGTCAAACTTAAGCAAAGACGTGAAAAATGAAGAATCCGCTCTCACAAGGTTTTGTACGCAGATAATAAAATCGCTAGGTCTCTCCGTATATTTGACAATTTGTACATATTCATTTATTGACTAGGTTAAGTGTCCACCCACTGCACGAGAATAGCCAATCTTAAATAGAAAAAATCGAATGTTCTTTCAGGGTTGGAAAAATGAACATTTGGTCGCCGATTATCAATCCCGAGGCCGTGTCATTCGAGTTTTCTCCACTGACTCGACATTATGGCTAAAAAAGGTCAAAAAACTCCTGGAAGTTATCAATGGCGAACTTGGTTGCTCAGATGTCGAGGTTGAGGATATAGATAGGAACACTCAAGTTTACTTGTTTGTTAAAAACCGCACTATATCCGGTTGCGTTGTCGCCACTGTGCCGCAAGAGCGCGGCAATAGGATGCTGAACACTTACGAGTGTACCGAGCAGTCCTATCCGATCAAGTGCGGCATTTCGCGTATTTGGGTGGGAGCAAATTTTCGGAAACAAGGTAAGAATTTCATATTTCTATTTGTTATTTAAGCTATTGCTATTGCCTTTCAGGTATCGCTACTGCTCTGGTCGACGCCGTTAAACGCAATTTCATCAGCGGGCAAATACTGTCGAACGATGATGTGGCACTGACTACACCGACTGAGGCCGGAGCAGCTTTTGCCGAGAAATATTTCAAGACTCCGAATTATTTGATTTATTGGAAATGATTCTTTCCAGCATGCGTTGTTGTTTTTTTTTTGTTATAGGTCTCATCAAATAATTATAGAGGATAGTTGTAACTTTCCTTCCATTAGAGTAGCTAATTGATTAGAGTAGCTAATTAGAGATGTATCGTTTATTCGTATGCCAGAACAAAAAAAATCATGGTTATTTGCTCCTTATTCAAAGAGGTATCCGATAAATAATAAAAGAGAAGAATTAATGCAAAGTTAAGAAAAACGCGTTTTTCCAAAATGAATGTTTCAGTTTTTGATCGGACCCTGTACGAAAATGGTTCAACTTATGGAAATGAAACTTCCACTACCCAATCCTACTTTTTTATCCTTTATGCAAATATGACAAATTCAACCTTCATAGACACTTGCAAAATTGAAAATTTGATAACCCATTTTCAAGTTGTTGGTGCTCATCTAAAGCCAAAATCAATATTACTTTCACTCATTTAATTAGGTAGTATACCACCAAAGTTGGCTATTTTGCAGGTGTCTATGAAGGTTGAATTTGTCATATTTGGATAAAGGATAAAAAAGTAGGATTGGGTAGTGGAAGTTTCATTTCCATAAGTTGAACCATTTTCGTACAGGGTCCGATCAAAAACTGAAACATTCATTTTTGAAAAACGCGTTTTTCCTAACGTGCATTAATTCTTCTCTTTTATTATTTATCGGATACCTCTTTGAATAAGGAGCAAATAACCATGATTTTTTTTGTTCTGGCATACTCAGTTTTTACGTAAAATACCAACAAATAGGAATTACGACATATTTTTGAGCCACTCTATTTCAAAAACTATCAATTTTTGAAATAGGGTATGTTAGACAAAAGTTATTTAGAATTGTTCAGAGGGTCTAAAAAAAAGATAATATACAGGGTGTCCCATTTAAAATAACAAAGTCAATACCATTTCCAGTGAAACCGGAAAAGCCATTTAATTGTTTTTAAATTAAAATTGTTCAAAATATTCAACCCTATCGACATACGGAATTGCATATTTCTATCTCGAGCCGTTAAGGAATGCCGCCGTGGGTAGTAGTTTCATTGTCACCCGGTATGGGTTATATGATTTTTTTCGTTTTTAAGAGTTTTTTCTTAAGTTTGAAAATGTTTCGTTATATGGGTTGTGATTTTTCTTTGTTGTGTACTATGTTAGTTGATAAACGCTGATTTCACGTTATTTTTGTCGCTTTTATCCCGTTTTTTTTCTGCAACTTTTAAAAAAATATATTTTTTGTCCCGATACGCCCCATAACTGGGATGTATCGGTCATTTCCATCAAAATAAATGGGGTGTCCCGATTGACCCCATTTGCGGGGCGAATCGGGACACCTAAAAAAATTTTTTTTTAATATCACCTGTCAAAGTGACAGGTGTGAATGATATGTTGTTTTGAAGCTCTAACCGGGACCCAAATTTTGGCATTTACTTGGAGCCTCTATCTCATTTAGAGAAAAAGTTATTTAGAAAAATATGTCAAAACTGTCCCGATTCGCCCCGTTTGACGGTATAAATTTCTTTAACTTCTACGCAAGGGCGTCCATAGAACATTTTTCAGGGGGGGGGGGGGGGGGGGGCAAAAACTTGACTTATTTTTAGTTTTTAAATAATAGTACCTAGATTATACCACGAGTCAATAATTATAGCTATTATTCTCGAGGAATATTTACGAACTGAGCCGCGTTAGCGGCGAGAGAGTAACATTCCGAGGGAATAATAGCCAATAGAAAGTTCTCGTGCCTCAGACGCTACGCTTATACGGTACCGCTAACAATACGGTATTTCGAATGTTATTTTATAGTTTTCGGACACAAAGACACAAAAATCCTCTAATCCCTTATTCTGTTTACATTTTGACAGCTGAATTGAGGGATCTAACCCAACTTTTTTTTTGCTTGTTTACCAACTTTTATTTATCCTGAAAATTCTGGAGTTTCATTAATTTTCCTTTGGTGTGTTTTATGGAGGAATTATTGGAAGTTGCTGTTTTTTTAAACGTAAATGAAGCGTTAACAAATTTTGACATAGCATAGCGTTACGGTAAGGCATCCGTTAAGTCCCGTTAGGTAGCGGGATCCGCTAACGCTAATACCGTAAGAACTGTCATACTTGTCAAATAACGTTACGGTATTTCAAATTTGGACAGCACGAGAACTCTCTATTATTGCGAGTAGTATACTCTACTTTATTTACGAGAATATAGAACATTAATCCTTCGCGGGAATAATATATGGCATTATCTGCCAATATCACAAATATAATACTTACATTATTAATATGTCAGTCGTAAATAAAACCATTTATGTAAAGTCCATCTGATACTCCAAAAAAATGTGAGCTGGTGGCTCCCAATAGTTGTATTCCTTTCACACCTAGGAGAAGCTCCGGAACAGCTCCGGGGCATTACGCGCTTATTCCTTTCGAAAAGGGTTTGTTGCACCTGAATGCTCAAGCCCGACTCAAACCATTTACCTTGCGTTCGGTATTTTGCTCAAAGAGCAGAGCGTGCTGAGCGGAGTCGTGATCACGTGACCAGTGAGCGATCAGAGCAGTTAAGCGCTGTATAAAAGTGCCAGAAATATTAATAAACGAACGCGAATGAGACTGCACCGAGTACACTTTTTAAATAAACGAACGGTAAAATCAAGCTCGGAGAACTCGGACCAAAATAACGAACGCAGGGTTAAATGCATGAAAGCCAGCGCATCTGTTCCTTTCAAATCGGGGTCGACTAGCACCGGAGCGAGTAGCTCTAGTGTTCTAAACTCTTGAAAGGAATACATCTTATGTCAAAACGTCAATGGTTACCTGACGTCACACCTGTTTTTATGTGGTTTTTGCCATGTGCTTCACCCCCTCGCTCCTCATACGGAAAGTGTCAGATGAACAACGACGGCCAATAGGTAACCATACGTATATTACTGAATGAACATAAGCAGTCTAAACTGTACTCATTTGTAATGACGTCATTTTAAAAAATAAACAGACATTGCACAGACAGAATGTCAATTTGACAATTGTTATTTATTGTGTAAGCAACTTTTAGTATCACTTTTGCTATTCTGTTTTTTTATTCTTCTGGTAGCAATAATGGTATGGTACTTATGGTAGCATCATGAATCATAATAATCTTCAGGCCTAGGGGAGGGCAAGTGCCCCATTTGCCCCCCCCCCCCCTATGGACGCCCCTGCTTCTACGATTTGATAGCCCGAAAAAAGTATTGAATTGCGAGAAGCCCGTACCCAGGGCAGTCATATCACCGGGCAGTTCGGAGCGCCGCCCAGGGGCTCACGGTCCAAAAGGGCCCCACAATGTTGCGGAAAATTTCGAATATGTAGAAAAAAATGTCATACATGCAAAACAAATATAACATTTTAATTAGGCTACATTCAATAAGGACTCAATTCCTATCTTTTAAAATATCATTCACCATACCGCCCATGCCTAATAATATTCGTTTCTGTGGTTGAGAGCATCTGGCAACGCTGAGCGTGCTTCCGAAGTATTTCGAATATATCCGACTATAATTCCGAGAAACACAGACCGACCCAACAGTCCATATGTTGTGATTTGACTGCGCCAAGCATTCACCTTCTCAAATTACTAATTTGAACCAATATACGCGCTGCCACTGACCGTATGCACCTCCCTGAAACTAATCCTGGCGGCGCCCATGTCCCTAGTATATAAACACTGTGTTACAAGTGCGTAAAGTAATTCACTTTCCACATTAGTGCGTAAAAAGTGGCTCAAAAAAATTAATAAAATGTTAGGTCTGTTTCTGCACAAATCACCAAACCAGTCAGAGTGAATTTCATTGGTTGAAATTAGTTTTCTGACTGTTTCTGACTGTTTTCAACCAATGAAATTCGCTCTGACTGGTTTATAATTTCTGCAGAAACAGACCTGTTATTGTGTTAGTACTTTGCAAAAATACATAAATACCAACAAGTAGCTATAAAATTTGATATTGTTACGACCCTGGGTTGCGTGTCAGAAGTCTTAGGTCCGTTTATTTCAAAATCAAAGTCCAATTAACACAGCAGTAATTTATTCCACATTACTATACACACTGACACTAATAGACTGTGAGATAGGGGCTGTTTAGTGGAGTCATTTTTTTTTGTCTGGCATTTTGAGGGTTGAATTTGACTACTAAGCTGATGAGAATATGGGTGATTTAAATGCCGGCCTCCCGTTCGAAAATTTGCAGAAGAAAAAAATTGATTTACATGAAGATTTTTTTTTTAATGATCTCAAATTTTCTGGCTTTTAAATAAAATATTGACATTGATAAATAATTCACCCATGAAAAATATCAGATGCTTTTCAATAGCTGAAAAAATGGGGATGGGTGTTAACTTCCAAGAGAAAAGAAAAGAACCTTCCGCGTTTACTTTTTGTCTGGCAATCGAGAGAATGAAAGGTTTTGTTGTGAAAATAACGCTAAAAAATCGCCAGACGGTAATCACAGTTCGAAATCGAGTTTTCCGGCGAAACATGTGGACATTTCGAACAGGAGGCAGGCATTAAACACTTTATCATTCGTAACCAGAAACTGCCAGCGATGGGTGGTAGCCCGCTCCCGTGACCGCCCCCCAAATAAGAGAATTTTGATCAAAAACCCCCCTCACGAGTACACAAATGAAATTTTTTGGGCATGTAGAGAATTATATCAGAAATCTAAAAACACGCGGCAGACGCTTTCCAGTGGTAGCCCGTCCAGGGCAGACGCCTTCCAGTGGTACCTCGTCCAGGGCAGACGACCTCAAAAAAAATATATTATGTAAAACTCCCCTCACGAGTAGATTCACAAAATTTTGTTGACTTAAACAGTCAGATTGGTGTACGAAAAATGCATGGCAACGGCTTCAAGTGGTAGCCTGTCCAAGACAAAATTACGCTGAAGCGTTTCTTAATATGGATAAAGACATTAAATAAAACTACAACATAAGTATTGGGGACAAAAACACAGATTTATGTATTATTCAAGAGTACTTAGCATTAATAATGATAAATAGGAGTTACAGATTATATATGAACACGGTAGAGTAATGTTTCTCCCAGACCTAACTTCACTAGAGAGTCATTACGGG